ATGGTCACCATTGACTTTATGCAGATATTTCTTTGACTTTCCTGACTTCTATCCTTCTGGGTCTGTGAAAAAGAAATGATTGAAGACAGAAAGTCAGCTTAGCAGTCAGGCAGTTATCATTTTCAGCAACAGGTCTGCAAAAACAACATCCATAATTTTTCATGACTGTTTTATGTGAATGATCTCCCAGATGTCGGTTTTCTATGGTTCAGCTGTGATTTTGGGCTTGGCTCTAGCTATGTGGATCCTGTCTTTGGAGTATTCTTTCCTCTAGTACTGGACTTGGATGACCACTGTTAGTACAGAATAGATGGACATTGGAACGCTGTTCTGCCTGGCCAAAACTTTGTGTTCCTTTGTAAATCTTCACATGTGCAGCAGGGGTATGACCAGTATGCACTGTTCACTGTATACTAATCAGGAATAAAGTGAGCATTTCTTTCTGTTTTTTGGATAATTCAGAACTTGCTGTCAGTTTTATCAGAATTCTGTGTCTGACTTTTGCCAGCCATTACAGGATCTGAGCGACAATCTTACCATATTTAGTTGCAAGTCTTGCAGCAAATCCCAGAAAAGCAGCGTGTACATTCTTCTGTCTCTTATTATTGTGCTGTTAGACTTGTGAGACTATGAACCTATTACCTAAATTAAATATTCTGAATGTTGCAGCATAAATGTTTCTTTCTTTTTACAATGCCAGAAAAAGCACAAGGAGTCAACACATTTTTTTTTTTATATAGTATCAGCACTTTAATATAGACTTTAAATATAGCATCCATGCTTTTCATTTTTCACACATTCCTGCATCCGCAGACAAAACATGCTGCTTTTTAGCAAACGCAGCTCTTTTACACCATGCAAATTTTTTTTCTCCTATGGCTGCGATTTTCAAAATGGACCTTTTTCCTGTTTCCCACAGGTACAACACCCCATTCAAATTATTGGGCTGCTGTGCCAACGCAAATGTGAGCCGCACCAACCGCATATATGTAAACCTAGTCTTACAAGCATTCCCGAATATGTGTGAATCTAGCTTTAAAGGATAAGTTCACCTTTGGAACATGTTATATGTTCCACCTGTTTTTAGGGTGAAACATGTAACATGTTCCCATAGCCGCAGCCATGCCTGCCACCCCCCCCCCCCCCCCCCCCCCTCCCTCTGACAGATTATACGGGGAGAGGTTTCCCCATATTATCTGTTTGATTTGAAAACCACGTGGCTCTGCCCACATGGCCTCATCACTCATTCACAGAGTTCTGTGAATGAGTGCCTACAAGTCCCAGAAGCCTTAGTGGCTGTCCTTTTGTAGTTTTCAATGGAGTGAAGTTTTCAAGTGGAGCGCCATGGTAGTTCATTGAAGCTTCCTGTCAGAATATCTGCTTGACCGTATATCCCGTACAGCAAGCAGATATTCTGACAGATCTGCAGGAGACCTGCATGGCATCAGCGATCTACTGACCACTGGTGTAATGCTGTACAGGCTCCTTTGGACAAAAATAATGAATGCAAATTTTTTTACCTGCAGAAAAAAATGTATATTTATTATTTTTGTCCAAAAGGTGAACTTATCATTTAACCAAGGGTGTTGAAAGTATCATAGTGGATTATAATTGTAAATAGAAAAGGGAGTTGATTTTTTAGTGAGGTTTTTTTTTTTCTTTTAGCATGTTTTATTGTGGATGCCATTGTGATGTAAAATATAAAATGTTGGCGCTATGTAAATACCTGAAATAATCCTAAAATGAGCCTGAAATTTGTTTTGCTTATAATATAACTACACTAAGACCCCGGTCACACTGGATGCAAATTGGCATGCTATTTGCTTGCCATACAACTTGCAAATGCCATGCCAAATCACAGCGTATTTTTCCACAATTAGAGCAGTCGTATCGGTGCAGTTTTTGACTTGGTCGCAGCCGCACCGATTTGTATAGTAGTACATGTGCTACTTTTGGTGCGATTTGCATAGACACCTGTATCAGATGTCGTTTAAATCGCACCTGAAATCCGCATGTCATCCAACTTTGAAACGATTTCAAAGTAGTATTTGATGTGACCATGGTGTAAGGCAGTGTTTCTCAACTCCAGTCCTCATGGATCCCCAACAGGTCATGTTTTCAGGATTTCCATTATTTTGCACAGGTGATTTGATCAGTTTCACTGCCTTAGTAATTAACAGCTGTTTCATCTGAGGGAAATCCTGAAAACATGACCTGTTGGGGGTCCATGAGGACTGGAGTTGAGAAACACTGGTGTAAGGCCTCATTCACACAGGATGTTTTCTTTAACTCTCCTAGAGGAATCCTCCTGGCATCTGTATTTTGGCCAAAAATGTCTGATGCTTATAAAAGTGTGTAACCTCTTTAACCACGTCATGTTTGGACATTAATTTAATTGGCCAAAATAAATACTTTTTTTGGCCATTGAAATGAATTCACACTCAAGGGCTAAACACGCCTAGCGTTAAAGCGTGTTTAGATGCAATTACACACGTCAAGCGTTTTTTTGGACAAAACTCTGCTGCTTCTGGACGCGCTGGCTGTGGGTTTTTTCCTGCTTCTAAACTCGCCTGCTACTTATGCAGGCCATAGATGGGGAGAAAACCAGCCGAAAAAAAAAACTCGGCTGGTTTTTGGATTATTAGTGGGGTAATCAGTTGGCCGTTTTATTGTGATTTTGATACTTTTTTTTTTTTTTTTTTTTAATCAGTCATGTTGGGGAAAAAAATCGGTCAATTTTGTCCTTCAGCCGATTTTCGCGGCAATGATGGACAAATCGGCTGATCTTTTTACCGATTTTAAAAAATGCGCATGAGCAGTGACCGGCAAGAAGAAGGAAAAGAGGAAAAAGAAGAAATAGAATATGAATAAGAAGAAAAAGAATAGGAATAAGAAGAAGAAAAAAAAAAGAACTTCAGTCCGATATTATATTTGACATTTAAAAAGTATAGCAACATTGTATCTATTTGTATCTGAATAGAAACATCTGTATCCAAAATGGATACAAATAGATACAATGTTGCAACTTTTTCTGCTTCTTATTCATATTCTATTTCTTCTTCTTATTCATATTCTATTTCTTCTTTTTCGTCCTATTATTTATTCATATTCTATTTCTTCTTTTTCTTTTTCATATTCTATTTCAGGGGTGGCTAACCTGTGGCTCTCCAGCTGTTGTGGAACTACATTTCCCATGAGGCATTGCAAAGATGGGAAGTTACTGACTTGCAGAGGCATGATGGAACTTGTAGTCCTGCAGCAGCTGGAGAGCTGCAGGTTGGCCACCCCTGTATCTATTTCTTCTGTCAAATATAATAGCGGAGCTCTCTGCAGGGACACCGCTATTATATTTGCCGGCCGTAGACGGGACAAAAATCAGCCAACTTTATTTTTACCAATGGTGGTAACGTCGGCCTACTGAACGACCGATTTTTCGTTTTTCTAAAAAAAAAAACACGGCCGGTTTTCTCCCCGTCTATGGCCTGCATTAGTCCTCATGCACACTGGACGTTTTTATAGCTGCTTGTTTTAGCTTTTAGCTGGACTTTTTTACTATTTGGTTTAAATCACGGAGACACTGGACTTTATGATTTAGTATAAAGTATATGGGGAATATTTTTTTTTTAGCTTGTTGCACATATAGCTGGATTATTTGTTGAAAGAGGGTAGATTCTTGTTTGGATCTATTTATTTGAGTTTAAGCTTTCAGGGGTTGAAAGTTCTTTCCAATTTGGAATCAGTGTAGGTGAAAGGGTGGTTTTTTTGTTTTCACATTACATTTATATCATTTTCACATTATATTTATATATTTGTTTTAGCTTTTGGCGTTTTTTTTTCCTACAGCCAGTAAATCCCCCCAGCATGTTATCCTATGTGTCCATGCACACATAGACTGTAATCAACGTTTTTTGGCATAGGTGTTTTTTGGCTGGAAAAAAAACCCAGGACTAGTGGGTTTCTAGAGTTTTTTTTAGCTGTAAAAATGCTCGAACGCTGAAAAACACGGTAAATCATGACAAACCGGCGTTTTTGGACTTTTTTTTGACCCAAAAATCATATTTTTGGTTAAAAAAACTGCTAAAAACCGCAAACACGAAAAAAATGCCACTAAACGCTAATTCAAAAATGCTAAAAAAACTCATGTTTTAAACGTGACTTTACACAGCTAATGTCACCAGCTTTATTAAAACACCCAGTGTACATGGAGCCTGAATGCTGGTAAAAGTTAATGTGTGTATGTACACCTAAGCTAGCATGCAGGGGAGTTTAGAGGGCAAAAACGCCAGACACCCTTAGGAACAGCTGTAAAAACCGTCCATGAGGCCTGAACCATCCTTTTGCATAGTCTGAGAAAAGTCATCAATATTTTGTCTTCTAGCACAGTTAGGTTGGCCATACATTATACAATTTTCTTGTACAGTTTTCCTTTAGATTTAGTAAAACCTAAACACTTTCAATTTGTATGCAATTTGGTAGATCTTAAGGAAATTGAATAAGAAAATTGTATAATGTATGGCCAGGCTAAGTGTCGGTTCACACTACTGCAACCTGAAAGTCGCACCATTGAGAATGTGATTATATCTGATTGAGTTTACAAGTCATTTTTAGGAAGGGGGGGGGGGAGGGGGGGGGTCCTTTTTCCCAACTCGTCGTTGTTTTTTTTTTTTTGTTTTTTTTCTCCTGACATGTTGGTGTTGTATCTTTCACTTGGATGTTATAAGTTGATAAAACAAAAACTGTGTATGTCTTCATATCAAGCTGCAAAGCAAAATAAATGATAGTTTTTTTAATGGGGGCTGAGTCTTTTCTATATCCACTGTATGTAGTTTTAGAATTAGCACATTTTGAGTGTTGATGGTTTGCCAGATATTTTTTAGACTATTTCTGTTTTTAATGTCAACTTTGTAATGTCTTTACTCTTACCACAAACATTAATAAATGCTACTTTACAACTTTTGTAACCTTGAATTTAACCTTTTGTCTACTTTGCATTTTTGTATAGGTCAGAAGACATGCCTTCATCTTCATGGTATCTTTCCTTACCTGTATGTACCATTTGATGGTTATGGCCAGCAAAACACAGATCGTTACCTTCGCCAGGTGGCATTCAGTATTGACAGAGCACTTAATGTGGCTTTAGGCAATCCATCTGCCAATGTCCAGCATGTTTTTAAGATTACAGTGGTATCTGGAATGTAAGTATCTTTAGTCTGTGTTTACATTATCAAATGATCTTTCAGTATATTTTGCGATGGATACAATATGTGGATTGATAGATTGCATGAATAATTATAACTTATTATAGGCTGGCTAAAAAAAAAAAGTATTTTTTAGTAACGTTTTAGATGCATTAGCATTTTATTAGCGTTTTTTACTGTTCATGTAGGAAGAAAGCTAGAAAAAAAGCTGTTAAGAGCATTCTAGTAGTGTTAAGGAGCATTCAGCATTTTTTTTTTTTCTGCTGGAAAAACACTCCACAAAAACAGTTTTTTTTGTCTCCTTGCTGAAAACTGAAATGGACAGTTTTTTTAAAAAAAATATATTTTTATATATAATTGTGTTATATTTGACTTTTTATTTAATATCATGAATTAAAAGTGTTTTCAGCACCTTTTCGGCCAATAGGCTGCTTTTACGTTGAGCATTTTTTAACCCGCAAGAAAAGCTCAAGAAAAATGCATTGCTTTAAATGCAATGTATGTTTTTTACACTGGTCTGTTATGCTTCCCTTGCGGTGTTAAAAATCCTGTTTGCCACATTTTTGGTGCATATTTGGTCAGTTAAAAAAAAAAAAAAAAAAAAAAAAAAGCACCAAAAACGCACTTCTCCATTGAGGCCTGGTTCACACTTATACGTTTTTTAGTGTTTTTTTTTTTTTTTGCAGAAAAGCACTACAGTTCATTTAACATGGTTTCCTATGGGACACGTTCACATCTATTCTTTTTTGCGAGGCCTTAAAAATCAGTAGCTGCTCTTTTTTATTATACTGGTTATGTGCTTTCAGAAAATATATAGTTTAGGGGGTCTTTTACAAACGTTGAAAGCTGTTAGGGGGAAAAAAAAGCAATGGAAAAATGGTCCGTTCATGTGAGTTTAGAAGTGGAGGTCAGGGCCTGGCAGTGAAAGGGTCGAAGCTAAACTCCAAGCAGCTATAAAAGGCAAAAAAAAAAGATGTTATGAATTAAAAAGAGCATGTCAAGCCACAATCTGTTTTTCATTCATAGGTATAGTGGGGAAAAGAGTGGAAATCTTGTTGAGTTTATACGGTTATCTGGAGCTCCATTAGAGAGATTTACTCCTTCTTGTCCTGCTGACAACCGTTGCACTAGCCTGGAAGATGGACGTGAGGGAAAATCTTGAATGGGAACACAGAAATAGAAATCTACCTAGGGGTTCAAGCCGTTTCCCTTGCCTACTAAGGAAAGTAGTTTAATTTTTGTGTTCCCCCTTCACTTATTTTTCTTGAGAAACGTTAATAGCAAGACCGGAAGTAAGGGTAAATCTCTCTAACGGAACCCTGGATAAAAGTGCAAACTTGACATAGGTTTTAAGCTTTCTCCACTAAGAATTACTGTAGTACAGAAATTACCTCTTGCCCTCCAGAAGATTTTACCTGACCAGGCCTTTTTTTTGCTATACCACACTGCGTTATTTACTGGCAATTGTGCAGTCATGCAACACTGTACCACATGGAATCTATACAATTTTTTTTCGCACAAATAGAGCTTTATTTTGGTGCTATTTGATCCCCGCAGGGGTCTTTTTTTTTTTTTTGTGTGCTATAAACAAACAAAAAAAAAAACAATATTTTTTACTTTCTGCTATAAAACATATGCAATAAAAAAAATGAAATTTCTTCCAAAAATTTAGGCCAAAAAATAATCTGCTATATATTTGTGGTAAACAAAATAATGCCAATAAGTGTATATTGATTGGTTTGCATGAAAGCTATAGCATCTACAAACTATGAAGTATATACTGGAATTTTAATTTATTTTTTTATACTAGTATAGTGGCGATCAGCAGCTTATAGTGGGACTGTACTAGTACTACGGTCAATCTGACACCAACTGACACTTTGTGGGAACCAGTGCTACTAATACAGTGATCAGTGCTAATAATATACACTGACACTGTACTAATGTCACTGGTTGGGAAGAGGCGAACATCATGGAGCGGTCAAAGAGTTAAGTGTATGCCAAACAGTGCTTTGTTTGTGTACTTTTTACTAGGGGATGAGCCAGTTTTTATTTCCTGCTTTGCAGGTAAACAAAAATTGGCACATCCCTGCTGATGGGGAAGAGCTCTGTATTGTTTACGTACACAGCGCTCTGTCCTGTCAGCATCTTTGCCGATCACCGGGTCCCAGCTGTCAAACATTGGTCGAGACCCACTGATTGGCTTGTGCTGTGTCTAATCACAGCCTGGGCGGTGGGCGCACACACACGCATCCTACGCAGGGGGGCTGGATTACGTACTAGGTAAGTGATGCAGCAAAGGAGAGCTGCCTTGCCACCACACATGTAAGTGATGTGTTTTGCAAGCAGTTAATTCAACTCCTTGAGGCATCATTAAATGTTTTTATAAATTCAACCATTTTACATACTGGAATTTGATAGAAAAGGAAGAAAAACGATTCAGCACTAAAATGTTGTTAAGTGGGCAGAACAGGCATGACCATCCGTCTCTAGGCCTTCATAGGCCTTCATATTTCAACAGGTAACCCTAGAAGCTTCTAGGCCTTGGTGTCCTCTTCAGAATAGAGGAATCTTTTAAACTAAAGTAGAGAAATAAAAAGGGGGTGCACCAGGCTTGTGCATTACCTTGGAAATCAAATATAGACCTGGCCAAAAGTTTTGAGAATGACACAACTATTAAATTAACCTGCAAGGAAATGTGTGCAGTCATCATTGATTTGCACAAAAAGGGATTCACAGGCAAGGATATTGCTGCTACTAAGTTTGCACTTAAATAAACCATTTATTGGATCATCAAGAACGTCAAGGAGAGAGGTTCAGTTGTTGTGAAGAAGGCTTCAGGGCACCCAAGGAAGTCCAGCAAGTGCCAAAATAGTCTCCTAAAGTTGATTCAGCTTTAGGAGACGCCACCAGTGCAGAGCTTGCTCAGGAATTGCAGCAGGCAGGTGTGAGTGCATCAGCAAGCACAGTGTGGCAAAGACTTTTGGAGGATGGCCTGGTGTCAAGAAGGGAAGCAAAGAAGCCACTTCTCTCCAGGAAAAATATCAGGGACAGACTGATTTTACAAAAGGTACAGGGATTGGACTGTTGAAGACTGGGGTAAAGTCATTTTCTCTGATGAATCCCCTTTCCGATTGTTTGGGGCATCCGGAAAAAACCTTGTCCGGAGAAGAAAAGGTGAGCAATACCATCAGTCTTGTGTCATGCCAACAGTAAAGCATTCATGTGTGTGGTTGCTTCTCAGCCCAAGGGAGTGGGCTCACTCAATTTTGTATTGCCATGCATAAAGAATGGTACACAAACATTCTCCGAGAGCAACTTCTTCCAACCATCCAAGGACAGTTTGGTGATGAACAATGCCTTCTCCAGCATGATGGAGCACCTTGCCATAAGGCAAAAGTGATAACTAAGTGGCTTGGGGAAGAAAACATCAAAATTTTGGATCCATGGCCAGGAAACTCCCCAGACCTTAATCCCATTGTGGTCAATCCTCAAGAGGCGGATGAAAAAAAACATAAATGCTGACAAACCGCAAGCATTGATTATGCAAGGATGGGCTGCCATCAGTCAGGATGTGGCCCAGAAGTTGATTGACAGCATGCCAGGGTGAATTGCAGAGGTCTTGAAAAAGAAGGGTCAGCGCTGCCAATATTGATTCTTTGCATACACTTCATGTAATTGTCAATAAATGCCTTTGACACTTATGAAATGCTTGTAATTTATTCTTTAGTATACCACAGTAACATCTGACAAAAAGATCTAAAAACACTGAAGCAGAAGTCTCTGTGAAAATTAATATTTGTGCCATTTTCAAAACTTTTGGCCAGGTCTGTATTATGGAAAATGCATGTGAAATGTACCTGAACCTGACTTGGTATCAGCCTTTTTCAGTACTTGTATAGCAGAGCTTATACTGGGGAAGGGAGATGCATTACAAGTAGCTAGTCAGCTTTGCTGCAGTGTTCACATACTAACAAAGGTCGGTGGAATTGGCGGCAGGAGTTGGAACATGTAACATGTTCTAAAGGTGAACTTAATCTTTAAATTATACTGTACTATTTTAATAGGCTACATTAAAGATTTTATAGTCTTGTTTCTGTATAATGTCTGATGTTTGTCTAGCCCATATACATGTAATACAGCATTTTTCAGATTATTCAAGCCATGCATATTGCACCTTTTTTTTGAATGTTTGTTAAATATTTTTTGCAAACGTTTGGACTGTTGGATATGAATACGTTTGTTTTTATTTAAATAAAAGATAAAGTGGATCTGTGGACATTTTTTCTCTATTTTTGGTTAGATATCCTATCCTAGCCAATGACTACTCAATTTTTTGGGAATTAGGGTCTCTGTGACTACTATAACAGGAACAGAATGTGAAGGGTTGGAGCAAACTGGACCTTGCTTTTATAGGATGTTATATTTATTTATTTATCGAGTTTATATAGCGCCAAAGGGTTTGCTCAGCGCTGTACAATAGAGGGGGGGGACAGAACATGAAACAGTACAGTAACATCAAACAGCACACAAGAGGTAAGAGGGCCCTACTCTTTCGAGCTTACAATCTAGGAGGGAGGGGGTAGAGGTACAGGAGGAAATGGCTGTGGGGGATGGAGTGGTAGGAGGAGGGAAGGGCAGCGGCTGTTAGGTGAGGGTGGGGTAGGCTTCCCTGAAGAGGTGGGTTTTCAGGGAGCGCCTGAAGGTGAGGAGGGAAGGTGACAGTCTGATGGATTGGGGTAGTGAGTTCCAGAGGATGGGGGAGGACCTGGAGAAGTCTTGCAGTCGTGCGTGGGAGGAGGAGACCAGGGAGCAAGATAGAAGGAGGTCCTGTGAAGAGCGAAGGGTACGGGTAGGGTGGTACCTGGGAATCAGGTCGGTGAGGTAGTTAGGGGCAGTGTTGTGAATGGCATATAGGTAGCAGATTGTGTATATGGATATTTTCTTTTTTTTCTATTGGTGTTACTACAGTAATTCTGAGGGGCCACATGTGGCCC